CAAACCTCAGAGCCTTACAGAGGAGTCATAGACCCTTGCACCAATTATGGTGAGGCAACCTCCATGGTTGGCCGGCCTTTATGGAATGAATACCTGAATCCATCAAGGACATAACATTGTCAGAGAAGAGGTAACATCAACAAGCGTCTAAGGAAGGGCAGTTCTAAACACATGCAGCATTGAACAGTTGAAATTGAACAGTTTCCAAAGTCCACACAACAAGTATGGCTTGTAAACAAATGCACATGAAAAAATACTAAAGAATGGAACGATACAAACAAATGGGCCTACACAGGACAGAGTCCAAGAGTCCAAAGGATGGCCAAAAGTTATCAAGAAAATCTGGAAGCCAAAGAGCTGGTGACTCATGGAGTGGTCAGACAAGTCTGACATCAGGCAAAGGACTGAGGAATGCAAACAGGGAAAGCCAGCAGCTCCCTTGGTGCTGCCACCTGCTGGTGGTCACTCGTGTATGACTTGACTACTCTGTAGAACATTTGCTGAGTTGTTTGCTCCACTGGCTGTTAGCGGCAAGGTTCATGTAAAGTATTCCGTTTTACTTTGGTTCCTCTCTTGGATTTGATTCTTTGGTGAGGGTTATCACAAATTTAATGCTTCCTGTGCCTCTGAGGGGGGGCCAGGTTTTGGTCTCGTCTCCAGTAGGTTTTCGAGGACTCACAAGGACAGATGTGACTTATAGGTGTGGAATTATCTTTGTGTAGCTGGCTATATGGAGCCGTGGTTCAGACCCTCCAGAGAAGCCTTTACAAAGACCCCAGTGATCACACCCGACAGTACAAGCAACTGGTGAATAGGGCCTTTCTCCGAGAAATCTGAAGAGCACTTTCAGCCAAAGTGGGTAAACCACATAAGCAAATTTCAGTCAAATTTGACATATTAGGGTTGACAATTTATTTGACAATGACTGTTGTTGAGCCTCCTGATATGGGAGTGGATCACTAAATGTCACATCCACTACTAAAATATCCAGCCACTACTTAAGTAGTAGCTGGGAGAAGTATAAAATTTCAGATGGGCAGCAGCTTGCTGCCTCTGAGATCTTCTCTATTGGAGCCGTCTACGTAGTGCAGTGGTAGAGCTTTTGCCTCATGCTCATGGGGTCAAAAGTTTGAGTTTCCTAGTTTCCAAATGAATGGAAAAGCCAATTTCAGGCTACCATATAGCAACCACACAGAGTAAAATTTAAATTTCCACATTGCCACTCAAGAGACACTTGTAAATCAATAGAGACTGATGTGGTATTAAGATTTAGACAGGTATCTAGGTGGAATGTTCTCAGGGTCACTGATGGGGCTCTCAAAGAAAGGGTCATGTTCACATGTCTCAAGTGAAAATACTTCTTTCTGGTAGAGCCCCAGTGGCTGCCTGAAGGTATCTTGCTGAGATCATTCCACACTTAAAGGTTGCATCCATCACAGAAGTTTTGTTTGACCTACCAGGAGCCATAACCAGAACCTGGCGCCTTCCCCCTCACAGAGGCACAGAGAGTGAGTGACATTCACTACCCCACAGAGAAAGCATCCAGAAAGTCAACAAAACTTTACAGACAACTGAAATGTTTGTAGATATTGAAGTTTTGAAAACCACTAAACAGCTCTGCAAACAATTCACACACAACAAGGGATTCACTCAAAACTAGCTCGAAACTTGATAGTACTGATCACCATCACCAGGTGGCCTGGCCCCCCTGCTGCCCTTGTCAGTTCTGGATCTGAACAAAAAACAAACTGACAAGCCAATGAACCTGGAAGGGAGGGAAGGAATCAGGGAACCCTCTACCAGAAAGAAGCATTTCATTACATTTAATTCTGGGTTTCTGGGGGAAGCCCCAGTTTGGTTCCTGTAGCTAGCTAACCACAGAGAATGAGAATGAGACTTACCAGGGAGGAGGGGAGACAGCAGGCACTAGGAAGAAGAGAAACCAGACTTGAAGACAGCCCAAAGTGACAAGACTAACTGGGACTGGGAACATTGACTAAATACCGGGCTGCCAAACCCGTTAGAATGCCAAAACCCCCAAACCTGAATATCAGCCCAGGACATGTTGAAGAAGACTGGGGCCAAAGCTGTGTATTTTCAATCATGGGCCCAAGGGTAGAGCACAGGCTGGCTAGAGGTCAATGATTCTGTGGACAACTTGAGAAGTACGAGCCTTGGAATAGGGGGACCAAGAGAAACGGGCAACAAACAAGGTGGTATTCACTTAGGCAGAACCAGTGGCTCACAAATAGTGGCAAAGAGCCACCATAGGACAACAAATGATTCACCCCTTGTCTAACCAATCATCAACCACCAAAGCATTTCTCCAGAGCCTTAGTTGACTCATTCATCACCAGAAAAGGTGGTGGTGGTAAATGAACAAACCCCCCACCAGGGCTAAAGGAACAGAACTCCCACCTCCAAAGAAGAGCCTGAAGCTTCCCGACCCAACAACCAGAGGCGAGAGCCAAAAAAACACAGCCTTGAGAAAGACAACGAGCTGAAAAGGAAATCATTGACCAAGGTGAGGAGAGAAAGACCAAAACCTGGTCAAGAGACTAGGACAACTTAGGAAGAGCATGAGCTGTCCAGAGGTGGAAAAATGCACAAGACAACTTGCAGAATAGTGTCATGGAAATATCGACAGTGAATACAAACAACAGAGATTCTACCAATGCTGAATGATAAGAGGCAACAGTATTAGGCATGAGATGCCAATTGATAAACAACCAGGACAGCCCTGACCAAAACCAAAGAAAGACAACAAAGAGACAGATACTATAGTGGCAAACAAACACAGAGAAATCTCATACTGCCACCATGAGGAAAGACGCAGGTGGGACACTAACAAACCATCTAACAACTCACCATATAAATGGCAATAGAAAATCTTCAAACACTCCATATGTGTAGAGAAGACATGAAGGTAAAAGCAACAAAGATCCTCATCAAGCCAATCTGTTGAGAGAGGTGGAGCCTTGGAAAAATGCCCAGGTTTAGACACCAGACTAGAAGTGGCAGATGCCAGAAACCAAGGCTGGGCTGCTCCCCAAGAAACAAGAAGGCCTTGCTCCTTTTTGACAAATGGACATTAGTGTCCATTTGCAATGCAAATTGCTCTTAAGAGAATGGACAGAACCTGTAGCAACAACTGAACTGTGGGGAAAAACGTAAATGCACCTCCACCTTGACCACTCCAGCTGAAAGGCATCCACCACGACAGCCAAACGATTGGCAAATGGAGTCATGTAGGAGAGAGTGTCAGTTCCATACAATGAGAAGAGGTCCACCTCGAGTTGACCGAATGTCTCCCAGATCCAAAGGAAGGATGGGATGTCGATAGTCTACTCCATAGAAGTGGGACGGAAGTGAGATAATCCATCCATGAAAAAGTTGGACACATGTGAACCAAGAAGGGAACCAAATCTTGAGACTCTAGAAGCCAAACTACTGATAGCATTCAGCTCCACAGGAATGGACCGAAGCGATTCCCCTCAGTACAGGCAATTAACTACCAGGGAGAAGTCAGAGTGGAGATAGATCACAAAGCCCAAAAAGAGCCAAATCCTCCTCAGACATGTCACACACTGCTGCAAACTTGCACACCATACTGTGCACCTGAAGGAATGGGCACAACCACCTGTTCTAGGTGGTATGGTGAATGCTGGCCACAAGGCCATAACCCAGATCCAAAGCATCTGAGAACACATTTAGCAAGGGAGGAAGATGGCAACACAGAACCAAACCCCCGAAACGCCAGAAGAAGACGCCGGAGAGACAGGAGTCGATGAAGGGTGGGTGGGATCGGAACCTGTCAGTGCCAAGTGGTGAAACCGATGGAACCAGGAAAACCAGAACACCCAAAGCTAGCAAAAGGAGTGCCAAAGACAAGAATGTCCAATGGGGTCTAAAATATTGCAGAACACCCCTATGCTACAAACGGTATATGGTGGCTCTAAACTGGGAAGGGACCCAATTAGATTATGACTAGCTTAGAGAGAAAGAGAGACATCCACCCTGTTGCAAAAGACTGGAATTTTACACCAGTGATCTATGACCAAATAAACAGAACAAGGCTCAGCCAAAGCTGAAGACAAGCAACAACAAACATCACACACCAAAAGTAGAAAAGTTCCAAATTCCTACAAGAGGGGCTCCAGATACAAAAAGGTAGTCCATCGGGCCTAAACACTGGCTCACACTTCAAAGCCATACATAGCATATCTGGTGCTGAACTGAGCAGAGAAGCCATCATTATTACACCAGCAGAGTGTAGAGGAAAACAACCTTCTCAAAATGCAGTACAGGTACTGGAATTCTTCACTGAATTGACCTTTAAGTGGAAAAACCAGATGCTAGATTAAGAATTTATGGCTACCAAAGTACCAAATACCTTGGTGAAACTTTGTTTAACTGATGCTACTGGCTGGTGGTGATGGAGTAATTCAGTTGTTTGTGGTTAGTTTTGATAGTTATTTGCTTGTACCAAACATTTTTCTATAGATGTTTATGAACTTCTTTTGGCCATTTAGGTAGAGTTTTCTGCAGTGTGAGGAAGGTATGACATCCACATTCTACCCCACTGCTTTATGGAAGGAAAAATTTGGATCTCTGCTCCTGATAGGCCAAAGAAAGGGTAAAAAATTCTAGGTGGGATGGTAATGGCCTTAAAGTACAAGGGCTTAAGCTCTAGGAAGCCACCAAGGGGGGCTGCCCTAGAAGTCAAGTAGCACTATTAATTCTTATGATAAAATAATGCATACAGTATAATACTTTGAGTGATAATTTTAAGTATTCAATAACTGTTTTATACAGTACAGTACTGTATATAGAACTGGGGTATCAAATTTTTTATCATATTATTTTTTATCATATTATTCCTTCAAAACTCTTGAGAAAATGTTGCATCAAGATATTACTAAAGGCAGCTTTATATACTATTTTTGTACGAATGAAGAACATATAAAGTAACAATAAGAGACTAGGACAACTTGACTTACCTATTAGAAAGTTTGGGAGAAGTGGAGATGAACTGGTTGAGTGTTGACTTGTCATAGAACTCCTTAAACGAGTTTACTGAATGTAAGGAGTGTATAGAGTTAAGGGAGTGCTCTCTGCGGTGATGGATTCCCCCGACGGCACCACTTTCTTCGTGGGGTGGAGGAGGGACTGGTGGTGGCCCAGTACTGCCATATATACTCCCAAGAGAAGCAGAGCCACTATAGATGCCTGATGAAGGGTGACTGCCACTGTACAAGCACCCTATACCACTATACATTCCAGACATTGAAGGAGGACTGCTTCCATAAGCAGCATGCAGAGCAGCATCAGAGCTGGGTGGAGGCGGTGCAGGAGGAGGAGGAGGATCATCTGTATCACGGGAGTCATCCTGACCGGAGTGCTGGCTTGACAACGCTGGGGAAGGAGGTTCGCTCTGACTCTGACTGGAGCCCATAGCATCTATTGAAGGCTTGGGAGACGAGGTGGATCCTGGACATGGAGAAGGATTGGCAGAAGATTCTGGAGGAGGGGTGTGAGAAAGAATGGGACTTTTTGGTGAGTTTGGTGGTGTATGTGCTAAGTTAGGCGCATTTGCAGAAGCATCAGGACTAGCAGCCCCATCACTGCGGTCTATACTGGGGATGCTGTGCAAGGAGAGCCGATCAGCCAGGGAGGCTACATCATCTTTGGTGTTGGGCGGCGTTTCATCTTTGGATTCACTAGGAACCTGGGGTTCTGGCGACTGTCTTGTGTCTGCTGTAATACATAAGCTAACATTAGTCAAATGTAAGCATATTAGGTTTCATAATAGCTTCAGTACAATCAAATCTCTGAGAGCACTTCACCTAAAACAGTACATATGTAGTCACTAATATAACTGTAATGTTAATAATGCAGGTAATTGATGTATTGAATTTTTTTAGGTATTGTACCAGAAATATATTATCAAGCAAGGAACAAGTATGTATTACTAAAGAATGCTAGAAGGAATATAGCTCACAAAAAACTCAAGTTGCCAACTTAGATCCCCATAAGTATCAAATGCTAAACTCTAAAGAAAATGTTTTTTTATCATATATTAATTCTCTCTAATTAAGTTCAGAGAACTTGAAGCCTAAAACAAAAAAAGAGTAGTTTGGTTACTATGATTTTTCATTCAATGCACTTTTTGTATAGCTACATACATTATACAGTACCTAGGATTTCCTGTAACGCATTACTCATGGATAATGAGGGCTTGCTATAGAAAATTTCTAGTAAACCATTTTCTTCACTTATATTTGAGTTAGAAGAGTTCAAATAATAAAAATATAAATTTATTAATTCAGTCATCTCCGACACATCAGCAGTTTCAGGGCTTTTTCTAGAAAAATATCAAACCCTTTAATTTTACATGCAGTATTACATACAATAAATGCAGTATAGCTTACTGTGGTACAGAAATGAACAACTTTTAATATTACATCAATACGAGCCATAGACAATGCTCTTCTTCATCAATGACAGGTGCAGCTGGTGTTTCAGTACATATCTTGCAACATGTAAACTGACTGACTGTATCCAACTTGCATTCAGGATTTGAATGCATTTCATCAGAGCTCATTTCACTACCATGTGTTACCAGACTCTCAAGCAAATGGTGCTGCTAACCCACATACTGTACATCATTTCACTACTCCTTCAAGATGAAATAAATTACCAAGTTAAACATCTTAAATCTAATACAGGTACAGTATGTGACAATTTACAATAAAAAACAAATGCTATACCAATGCTTTGCACTATTCCTTTTTAAGGAGCTAACAGCAACTAGAAAGGATAAAATGTGAATAAGAATAAGCCTTCCCGCCAAACACACGACGAAACTTCGACGTTGCTACAACATTCAAACAAGGTTTAGCATTCTAACAATTGTAACAAGCAATATAGCAAGTTGTAACAATGTTCTAACACGTCATAAAAATGCCATAACAAGGTGTAACAACTTTATTACAAGTTGTAACAAGGGAATCATAGGGACCATTACATTGTGTGTCTGCAGGGTTGTGCCTCTTTACTCACAAGGTTATGGGTGCAGCAGTGCCTAAAATGACAAATTCAATGTGATAAAGGTGCTGTAAATGCAGCTCCCATTTAAGTCCACTACGGGCTCACCATAGCCTGTGCTACTTGGAACTTTTTGTTCCAGGCAGCGATCTTAAACAACAACAAACAGCTCCCATTTGCTCCTTATAAAACGAAGCAAAACAACTTATAGAAAACAACTTATAGAAGCATGTTTTAGAGCTACTGTGCATGCACAGCTGTAAAAAAAAAATCATATAATTCCTGTCTCCAGGGACAGGAAGCCTGTACTTAAGCATATCGAGGTCCCAATATGCCAACTACCGACCTTTCTCAGAATGCAACCCGCAATACATATTTGCCTAACTCCTGGGTACCTATTTTACTGTTAGGTTAACAGAAGCATTAGGTGAAAGCAAACATGCCTGATCATTTCTGTCCTGTCTAAGGACTGAACCTAGAACCCATGAGTGTGAGCCGAGGACGTGGATAACTGTTGTAAAAGAAGATCCACGATTTTCAATCTTATAAATTATGAAATTACAGTAACTTGGGTTAGGATTATGCTCGACATCAGTAATAAACTATTATACTGTACAGTATAGTATTGATATATACAAATTTTACAGCTATCTAGTGCATGGAAAGCTTTGTACAAAATAATAGAGTAAAACTATATAAATATAAAATCATCATATGGCACAACCCCCTATAATGAAAAGACCGAAAATCATCTAGTAAATTTTTGCTGTTTATTGTATTTACTAAATTCCTATTTAAAGTAACTGAAGGTTGAGTTGGTTTAACAAAGTCTTCTGTTTATTATCTAAATTACTACAAAATCGATACAACGGTACATTCCTAAAACACAATATGAGTAAACTTTAACTATCACGAACAGACTACTGTAATGTAAATCACATAATTCCCATAATGAAGTGGTCAAATATTTTTGTCTTAAAGCACTTGAATCAACAATTAGTTTGTTGTTGTCCAAAGGAGAAATAACAAATCAATTCACAAACTTATCTTTTAAACTAGCCTTTTAGACTTATCAAGGTCCCTCTAGCCAATGGCTAGCCATTTCCCAGAACGCAACCCAAAATGGTTGACGAACTCCTAGGTACAGTACCGAGGTGAGCCGAGACAGCAGGTACTGAATAAGGATGCGTCCAAACACATCACTGTACACACCCTGTCTGGGTCTCAAATCCTGGACCAATTGATATAAATAGCCCCAATATCTATCCACGAAGATGGACTTTTACTGTCACAACAATAGTTGATGTCTTTATGATATGAATTATATACTCTTTTTATATTGCATATTCATATTAAAACACTAATGTCACTACCGTTAAGGAGCCGGTCGGCCGAGCGGACAGCAGGCTGGACTTGTGATCCTGTGGTCCTGGGTTCGATCCCGGGCGCCGGCGAGAAACAATGGGCAGAGATTCTTTCACCCTATGCCCCTGTTATCTAGCAGTAAAATAGGTACCTGGGTGTTAGTCAACTGTCACGGGCTGCTTCCTGGGGGTGGAGGCCTGGTCGAGGACCGGGCCGCAGGAACACTAAAAAGCCCCGAAATCATCTCAAGATAACCATATTCAATATATATTCTTTGAATATGCAAGCACACAGCTTTTGCATGTGCTGATGCCTAATAAATATTCGAGATTGTCACTTAAGCAGAAGAATTTCTCAACAAAATACTGTACAATGTAAGTTATTTTCTAAACAAGAAATATATGAGTGTCCTCATATGCATTGTGGAGTATGTTCTATGAAGTATTTAAACAAATATTATGCTAATCAAATTTTTTTTGGCAAATTCAAGGTATAAATAAGAGGAATTCAAATGAACAAATATCACGCTATTGTGATTTGTGTATAATTCAAATAATTAAAACGGCATCTAAACATTGTTCCACATGCAGCTTTTTTTTTTTTTTTGAGATATATACAAGAGTTGTTACATTCTTGTAGAGCCAATAGTATGCGTAGGGTTTCGAGCAGGTCCCTGGAATACGATCCCCGCCGCGAAGAATCGTTGTTACAACCAAGTACACATTTTACTGTTGAGTTAAACAGAGGCTACAGTTAAGGATTTGCGCCCAGTAAATCCTCCCCGGCCAGGATACGAACCCATGACAAAGCGTTCGTGAAACGCCAGGCGAGTGTCTTACCACTACACTATGGAGACTAACGCTCAACGCACAGTTATCATTTGTTTAGTCACTTGGGCCACAGCTACAGTTATCTTATTGTCATTAATGATGATTATCATTATTACTCATTAATCATAATTAATGATGATTATCATAATTATTTCCCAGTTTTTATACCATTGATATTTATATTTTATAATGCAGTAGCTCTATACGAATGTAGTGAAGTCAACCAAGACCCCAGGGAGCCGGTCGGCCGAGCGGACAGCACGCTGGACTTGTGATCCTGTGGTCCCGGGTTCGATCCCGGGCGCCAGCGAGAAACTATGGGCAGAGTTTCTTTCACCCTATGCCCCTGTTACCTAGCAGTAAAATAGGTACCTGGGTGTTAGTCAGCTGTCACGGGCTGCTTCCTGGGAGGTGGAGGCCTGGTCGAGGACCGGGCCGCGGGGACACTAAAAGCCTCGAAATTATCTCAAGATAACCAAGGAACCAAGACCCCATGAAAAAATTATACAGTACTTTCATTTTTAAAGGTTCATTATGCAATATCATGTACTGTATCATGTACAAATTTAAAATGACGACAGTAGCTAGAGTTAATGACCGAGCGTTAGTCTGCATTTTTCACAAATTTAGAAGTTCAGATCCCTGTTCTCAACATTCAAATATTGTTCCAATAGTGAAATCATTCTCAATTTTAAGATGTCCATATTTTTAGCATAACATTATGATAGGTTGGGGCAAACACACAATATGCTAACTACTGTAGAGGTATATTTGACGTAAATGGTTACAGCTGTGGTCGCCGTACGATACAATAGCATCACGACAACGTGAGCCATAAGGTGCGGTTCTTGAGTGCCAGTGGTGGCATAGACCTGTCCCGGTTGGTGGGACCAAGGCTGGAAAGAGGTGATGCTACTGGCTACCATGTTATGAGACTGCCAATTGAGGTAGATCAGAGGTGGTGTTACTTCTGCCTGAGCTGTGTTGAGACTGCTCTAATACTCCTAAGGGAGGCGGTCGGCCGAGCGGACAGCACGCTGGACTTGTGATCCTGTGGTCCTGGGTTCGATCCCGGGCGCCGGCGAGAAACAATGGGCAGAGTTTCTTTCACCCTATGCCCCTGTTACCTAGCAGTAAAATAGGTACTTGGGTGTTAGTCAGCTGTCACGGGCTGCTTCCTGGGGATGGAGGCCTGGTCGAGGACCAGGCCGCGGGGACACTAAAGCCTCGAAATCATCTCAAGATAACCTCAAGATAGAAGATGCTGTTGTCAGATGGCCTTATATCCCTATCCACCTGATTCAGTTCAGAGCAACTATTTATTAATTGGTTGAAGGAAATCTGCTTGATGTACCTTTTAGTACGTTGAATTCTTGGGAAATATGTGTGGATGTCATATGTAGTACATACAATTCCCGAAACATTTAATTGGGTGCTACATTATTTCTAATGTTGCTGCAGTACTCCCCTTCCTTGTGGGCAAAAGATATCGGTTGAGAAACATAAGTATGTGATTACTGCTTCCTGGGTCTCTGGTGAAGCAGTTTGATCCAGTGAATAGAAGCAGCCAGCGTGCAGATCGACTCATACACCAGAACCATGGAAAATGAGGAGAGAAAAGGATGTGGTCGTTGCTTCCTGGATCACTGGCAAGCTAGTTCCAGTGCCAAGATCTAAGCAGGATGTGGATGTGCTCCTTCACCAGGACTATAGGAGGCAATGCAGGGAGAAAAGGATGCTGCTCAGTGCAGCAGTGTCAAGGACAGGGAAAGGCATAAGGGCTGCTAGTCGGACTGGTCAAGGCATCGAGGGAATCACTGTAGAAGCTGCATTGTCCTCACAGCAAAGGAGTGTCAGCAGTGCAGCAGGATTCAATGGACGTGGCAAATAAGGCTGTTGAAGGAGCAGCTGGAGATATCCACAGAGGAAGTCACAGCTATGACAAGGTTGCAGGCAGCAGTCCACAGCAGGCATGGTGAAAGACCAGTGAGCATCCATATTGTGGTTTGTCCCATGTCGGGGCTGGGTGTTTCATCACTCTTTAGGTCACCAATGTAATGTTACGACAGGTTGGGACAATACACCCACAATATAATAATTAAATGTATAACTATGTAAATGGTTACAGTGACAGTTGCTGTATGATACAACAGGGTTGTGACAAGGTGAGCCATAAGGTGCAGTTGTTGGGTGCCAGTAGTGGCAGACACCGGTCATGGTTGGTGGGATCAAGGCTGGTAAGAGGTAACGCTGCCGGCTGTTATGTTGTGACACTGCCGGCTGTTATGTTGTGACACTGCCGGCTGTTATGTTGTGACACTGCCGGCTGTTATGTTGTGACACTGCCGGCTGTTATGTTGTGACACAGCCGGCTGTTATGTTGTGACACAGCCGGCTGTTATGTTGTGACACTGCCGGCTGTTATGTTGTGACACTGCCGGCTGTTATGTTGTGACACTGCCGGCTGTTATGTTGTGACACAGCCGGCTGTTATGTTGTGACACAGCCGGCTGTTATGTTGTGACACTGCCGGCTGTTATGTTGTGACACTGCCGGCTGTTATGTTGTGACACTGCCGGCTGTTATGTTGTGACACTGCCGGCTGTTATGTTGTGACACTGCCGGCTGTTATGTTGTGACACTGCCGGCTGTTATGTTGTGACACTGCCGGCTGTTATGTTGTGACACTGCCGGCTGTTATGTTGTGACACTGCCGGCTGTTATGTTGTGACACTGCCGGCTGTTATGTTGTGACACTGCCGGCTGTTATGTTGTGACACAGCCGGCTGTTATGTTGTGACACAGCCGGCTGTTATGTTGTGACACTGCCGGCTGTTATGTTGTGACACTGCCGGCTGTTATGTTGTGACACTGCCGGCTGTTATGTTGTGACACTGCCGGCTGTTATGTTGTGACACTGCCGGCTGTTATGTTGTGACACTGCCGGCTGTTATGTTGTGACACTGCCGGCTGTTATGTTGTGACACTGCCGGCTGTTATGTTGTGACACTGCCGGCTGTTATGTTGTGACACTGCCGGCTGTTATGTTGTGACACTGCCGGCTGTTATGTTGTGACACTGCTGGCTGTTATGTTGTGACACTGCCGGCTGTTATGTTGTGACACTGCCGGCTGTTATGTTGTGACACTGCCGGCTGTTATGTTGTGACACTGCTGGTTGAGGTACATCAGAGAAGCTGTTGCTTCTGGCTCAGCTGTGTCGAGACTACAGGGATAGTCAGGTGGACTATCCCCGTCCACCTGACTTACTTTAGAACAAGGCTGCTCAATAATTGGTTGATGGGGAAATTGTTTTATGTCATCTTTAGTACATGGAAGTCCTGGAATGCTAATGTGGCTGCTATATTATTTTTAATATACTTGCTATACAAGATTGATAGAGAGACTTTTAAGGTTGCACTGCACATTGTTCATATATTATTTAAATATCTATATACATGTATGTGCAAATGTGTGTTCTATAATTTAGGGTAAGAACAAAAACTAAAATTACCAAGTGAAGATAAAAATTATGAAACACCGAGAGCCACCGAGAAACACCGAGATTTCTAAGAGGCAGAACAGGTTTGTACCCAATTAGTCCACTTGAGTGAGATTACACTGTTATGTAGCCTAATTTTGTCTTTAATTCAGATTTGGTGTCTATTTCAAAATTTTTAACAATTACTGTATATATACAAATTAAATATCTATTCAATATCATGCAAGTGTTTATTTTTTCTAAGCTATAACTAAAGAAAGATACTTTGAACAGTTTTGTACAGGTGGTCCTCAGATATTAAACGGTTTTACGTTATGTCATCCCAACAAGAAAATTCAAACTAATTAGTACCATACAAAGTATAATTTCCCATGAGTTTATTTGCTCCTGTTTAGTATTGTAAGCTATATATATCTGCATGAATTACTCTTGTATCTGGCTGACATATAGTAGTGTTAACCCTTACACTGCTCAAATCACCTTATGCAATTGATGCTTATGTTTTTTTTAATCATTTTTTCTTTCCCATGTGCACCAGGAGATATAATTTTTAAATAATATAGCAGTTTAAGAGTCAAAACAACAATTAATACTTCATGACCATGTCAATGGTGTCAGAATGTACAATACAGTACTGTATATCTAATACTGTGCTATAAAGCTTCTTAACTGTACGTGTTCAATAACCAGTTTCTAAGTACTGGACCACAAAAAAAAATTGGCATAAACATTACCACACAGAAACTAGGTATGTGCAAGTATTCCCATTCTTGTTTCCCAATACTGTATTTAGGATTAAGTGTTTAAACACACAGTTCTGGTGCTAAACTAAATATTTGACATTTTTAAATACACACATTGTCCTGTGCAACATTAGTGTCCATAAAAATACAAAAACATAAAACTACATAAAAATTTACCTTTAATTACTAAATATTATTATTTCATGCATTTAGTGACAGCTCATCACCTTGTAAGCAAATTGATTTACTATGCACAGGATCTACATACAAAACAGCTTGGTTACTGACCACCGATCTGAAGTTGTTTATCCAATACAGCAAACGTCAAGCAAAGGTGAGTAAGTTGTAAAGATCAAACTATTTAGTTTTCAGTAGAACCTTCATTTATTTATATTTTATTTATTTGATATAAATTTAACATATCACTGTACAATGTAACCCAAATTAGCATTTGATCCCTTCATCAAATGTTTAACGCTAAACCATAGTTTATGATAAATGTATTTGAAGGGCTAAGACAAACTTGGTAATGCAATGCCCAGGAAGCTGCACTCTGTTAAGTCAGCCAGTTTTAATTTTGACAGGTGCACAAATTAAAAATTTAAAATGGCGTATATACCGCCTGGACATAGAGCTAAAATTTTGTTTGATAACTTATAGAATTTATACAAATTATAAAATTCTCCACTACTGTATTTGTTATTTGAGTCTACAATTTATATTTCAGCAATGGTATTATCTAAATAATGACTGAAAAACCTGCCACCATTATTATTATTTACACAATTTCCAGAATATAATGGTTTAAAAATACAGTACTAAACTACAGTATTATAATTATTGATAATGATTTAGTAAGACAATTAGCGAACAGCTAATTATGAAAATTCATGTAAATAATGCAGCATTGATAATAACAATAGACATTGGAAGAAAATCATTGGCACAGGACGCTGGGATCGAACCAGTGTCCTGGATCCCCCCAGATGTTCGATCGAGCCTTCCTGCTCCAAAGATCTTCTATTTCACGTTAAGTGTGATTTCATTGCGTAAAAAACATCAGTTGGTGACAAAATTATCTACATTTCCATTACAAGTTGCTCCCATAATAGGAATGATAAAAAAGACATCAGTAGAATGCCAGTACGTAATTAAAATTTGTGATTTTGTGCCACTGAAGCACATCCTGTAGTTACTTAGTTCGGGCGTTAACCCAACGTCTTTGACGTCGGGCGTTAACCCAACGTCTTTGACGTCGGGCGTGAATCCTTTTTTGGGACTCTGGGACAAGACTGTCAAGCAAGACTCTGGGACTACCACAGTCTTGACTGTGGGCAAGACTGATTGTGGCTTATGGATTTAACAATTTAATTGTCGTTTTGAGTTTGGGACACTTACTGGCTAACTGCAGTCATATATAGACCATTGCACATGTTTCAATAAGGTACAGTAATACAGCTCACTCCCTCATAAAATGGATTTCATGTGATGAGATGCAGAGTATTTTTCACACACAGCGGTTTCTATCCTGACAAAAAGCTGATAAACTCAGAAATCATCAGCAAATCAAGCATAATCTAAACGGAAATAAATTATTTGAACATTATTACTAAAATGTATGGTATAGAAAAGCACCAAGACGAGAGCAGACATTATGTGCAGATGATGATTCTAATGTAGTCTATAGGCCTTATCAAACCTAACAGATACGGTCCTGTATGGGCAAAACACCATCTACAAATAAGGTCTACTCTTATGTTGTTGTTTCTCTACATCAGCATGTCGAGTTCTCTACTACATAAAACCTAAAAAACACATAAAGCAATTATGAAACAGGAGACCATTCACCCTCTACAAACAAAATACTGTACTAGTATAGTACAGTATATTAATTTATTTCAGTTACTGCACTGTAAGTTCCAAGCTTTTGAAACATTTTATAATAAAGGTATTTAAATAATGTAGCATTGATCAAGACTATGATGTCCGGTGGTTTGCTTTTGTTGTCGTGGGCTGAACTAGTTCACAAAATAGTGCTTGTTCTGCAATTCTGTAACATTTGTCCAGATGTCTGACCTTCAGAACAGGATTTTGAGCTACTACTATAGCGAGAGAACCCCCCCCCCCCCTCCATGTGGCTGATCTAAATATATGAGCAATACTGCACCATGTCCTTGTTCAACACTTGGCCAATATTATGAGTGCACCATACAAAAACTGAACCCTCATATACTGTACCCTCTCTAAATAATGGATTAAATTTGCTCACCATGTTCCCAGTGAAATTCAGATAGTACACCAGAAATAATCAAGCTTTCGAAGTGGGTATGCAGTGAAATCCAGATCATCAGTTTATCACAAAGTACTTTCCAGTATACTGTAATAGTATTTGTTCCAATTTTTGCTAATCTTTTAATTGCTAAATCCCTCATTTAATTGTAAAAATTATTTTAAATAATGCATTTATAATTACATCTTTAAAATGCTTTGCCGAGCTTGTACAGTACTCTGCTATAAATTATACTAAAGTTCATTTACACGACATTATTCTTGTACCATCAACCTAGTGCGAGGGCATACACACTGACCACTCGTTTTCCTTGTGTGGGAGTCCAGTCTGACCTCTCGTTACTCCAACACTTTCACTAGCGTTTCTTTGAATACACAGTATCATTACTGTATTTGCAACATGATGTCATGTCAGGTAAAAGTATTATGGGTAAATCAAGTAAGGGTAAGAGGAACTTCCTTACCATGAATAACAAGACTGATATATTTGAAAAATATTATCATGACTAGGAAGGCAAGCATCTGGCAGAGAAGTATGGCAATGTTACTACAGTAGTATAGTATCTGACAAAAATCCAGTACCAAATGCAATGAATTGTCTCTTTTTGGTGGATTCCCCTCAGTGGCTCTCCAAGCTTAGTTAGCTACGAGCCTAAAGTACCCTATCAAGCACCCTTGTGAATCATGAGTGTAGATTCAGACCCAAGAACCAGAATGTAGCCCCCCTCAATACAGGCAAGGGAGGGTACTGCCACAACCTAATTCAAGATAAAAACAACACCAAAAAGGTTGAGTGCCCTAAAACAAGCAAGTGCATGAAAAACATTGGAATTCCTGACACAAACTATGTAAACACTCATTAACTTGTTCCAATTGGTAGCCATTATACACTTCCACCATCAGATATCAACCTCAGAAAACCTAGGGTTCCAGCTGGCTGCCCATATCAGACACTTGCCGCCCCAAGCGACCCCCTGAGACAGAAGAGAGGAACCAAAAAGGGAATCGGTGCTTTTTTTTCTTGGCAGGGATATTCCTGCATGGGCCCCTAAGCCTATGGCTGGCCCACTAAGTGCAACTTGTTTCTTGTTTCTGTTTTACTTCGGCAGAGTATGAGTATTTATGGCTCGTGTGTTTGCTTCAGAAAGATTATGTCCCATGTGTTTAACAACTTCTGCTCTGTTGAAGCTAAGTTGAAATCTTATTGGGTTTGTAACTGTGCACTGTGTTAGATAATGTTCCAGTGGTCTGTCAGTGCTGGGTCACCTGATTCATTACCAAGCAAGCAAAGCATGGCCGGGGAGCATGCACCAAGTACTGTACCACACCACAGGCAACTGGTTAGAGCACCAAAAACCATAAACCCAAATCTCCACCAAGACATGTTCGCAAAGAAAGTGGAAAGAGCCGCAAACTTAACATAATGGGCTCATGTATAGACCACAATCTGGCTAGATTTAATCACCTGGCAGACAACCCGAGACAACCAGACCTTAGAAGAAGGATCCAAGGATATTGGATTGACAAACAAAGCATCACCTGGGACATCTCAAGAGGCAAGCAAGTAATGGAGAATCATCGAAACAGGACAAGGAAGGTGATGCACTCCAGGCCGAATAATAAAGTTACAGTATTAGGCATCAGATGATGGATGACAAACAGCCAAGAATAAAGAGACAAGACTGGAACTGACACAGACATGTAGCAGTCAGAAAAAGACAAAGACCACCAGGTAGCCTCATACTGCAACTTAGAAGAGAGCTGCATTTGTGACACCTTAAGACCTGCCACCTGAACCCCCATAAAAATGGCAGTAAACTAAACTCAGTGTCCAAATACTTAGATATATGCAGAGAGCCTCAAGCCACTGAGGAATGTCTTCATATGATCCTCCAATAGAGACATAATAAATGCACTGGTTTAGACAGTCAGAAGAGCTGGAAGCCAAGGCCAAGCTGGCCACCAGAGCCAAAAGGAGCACCCTACCGGGAACATTTTCCAGTCTGGAAAGAACGGAGAGAAGAATCCAAACCAGAGGGTAAAGATAAAGGCAATCCCACTGACTACTCACTCAGCTCTGACTAGCCTACATTATTAAGTCAATATGAACCAGGCTAACCAGCATGTATTGTATGCATACAAAGACCAATAGCAAATAGTACACTAGGCATGAGTAGCCTGAGTCTAAGCAATAAATAAATGCATTATCTATAATTATTATAACATTAGGCATGGGGAATACTGCATTTGGCATTTCACATTAACAAGTACAGCAGTTTGATAACTGTCAACTTATCATCCTAATTACTGTGTATGTCTGGTAAATACAATACTGTACTATGGAGGGGCACCATCATATTATTGATTGTATAAAGACCAAAAACCTTACCTATCTTTAATAAAATGTTAAGCACAATGGGTATATATCTACCTCCCTCCCTTCCCAAACTGCTGTGTAAAAAATGTAACTGGAATACTCAAAGTGATACTCCTGAACTATAATTTTATTAATGCCTTTACTGATCATAAATTATATGCTAAAGATATATTTTTGTGTTACAGGTAACAGTAAAACTGTATCGGAAGTTTCAGCTAAGTATCAAAGATAAAGATCAATTTTCCCCGACAAGATATTTTAGTTCAAGAATAGACATTTGAAGTGTAAACAGTGCTGCTCAGGGTGTCCGAGAGTCGACACAACCAGGAAATACAGTACTAGCAGCTGAACCGTACTCTATACATGGTACCGTGGAACCGTACCCCTAAGCAAGACAGTATCTGCCATTTTAATACAATGAAAAAATCCTTTCATTTAGAATTTGAATTCTTGAATGGACTTAAAACCTTTGAATCACAGTTTCAAAAATCACAAGTAGGTAAATAATTTTACACATAACACATGTACATAAGGTAATATTGTAAAGAATTATAAAGTTTTCAACTAGGTACTTAATTTCCTTGAGGTTTTAGAAAGGTATTCGAAAATACAATAATATTAATTTTTCTAAAACGTGCACCTTCATATTCCTGTCACGACGGTATGCAACACGTCAGCCGAGAACCTGTACTGCCGCAGACCCCAAACACCAGCTAACGGAGTCAATAATGTCACGTTAGATATCGTCTCGTGTCAAGCTGCTCAAATGAGAAAATCCCTTCAATATCCCCTTCTCTCTCTCCCTCGGACAAGAGGAGGGGGGGGGGAGTGCCCTAACGTCCCCACCATGCCCTGGGAGGCCCCGAATGATGGGGCATGCCCAGAGAGGCCCCGAGTGATGGGGCATGCCCAGAGAGGCCCCGAGTGATGGAGCATGCCCAGGGAGGCCCCGAGTGATGGGGCATGCCCAGGGAGGCCCCGAGTGATGGGGCATCCCCTCTCTTCCCTCAGATGATCAGTCCCCCTTAACACCCCTTCACTACCACCATGCCCAATGAGGTCCCCCTTGAGTAACAAGACATCACACTCCCCCTCCTCCAAGTCCGAGTGCCCACCACAGAGGACTGTGCCAGCTCTCACCTGGCCCTCACAACGAGAAACAACCCCAAGTGCCGAGCAAGTACTCACTGTTGTCCATCTTTGGTACAGTTAGCAGGGGGGCGGGAGCCACAGAAATCAGAAGACGAGGGGACAATGATGATGCGGGCGGTCAATTGTCATTTCCCGTTGCTGATCGCTCACTAACTCTTCGGGCTGATTTCTCCACATTTATCTCCCGATCTTCACTCCTCTTTCCCCTTCCACGGGCGCAACGAGGATTTAAAAGGTAGATTTTGGTGCCCACATATCCGTAATCGCGATAAAGACTAGCAAGTTATCGATTTTTCACAAACATCTTCGAATGGGACCTGCGGACTCTCTTCTTAACCATTAATTTTGTTTGGATTGCATTTCTCGAGGGAGACTGCCAAACAAACCTATTAACCTTCCTGCCTAGTTAGCCTTTAATTTATTAATATTTAATCAGCTTAATATTATTCAAGTGTATATTAAACTTGAAAATTACAGGAAGTGAGAGTATATGTATTTATTTTTCTCGTGTGAAATGCGCGTGTGTGAGTCGCAAGGGACGAGTTACCAGAGGTCAATGGTGGCGGCAGGTCACTGCTGCTGCTCCGCCTCGCTCCTCTATAATGGTGTCTTGTAGGCCTTCACACACTATAATGCGAATAAAGACATATTTTCTCTTGTAGGCCTAGATATAGGATTAATGTAGATATAGGCCTAGTCATGATAAAATCCCCTTGTAAGCTGTTGTTATAGATTCAGCTACTCGGAAATGAGTTCCAAGTAGCACGGGCTATGTTGAGCCCGTAACTTACCTGGCACAGGAGCGGGGCAAGTAGCACAGGCTATGGTGAGCCCGTAGTGGACTTACCTGGCACAGATAAGGAGCTTACAAGGGGGAGCACTGAATGTGCTCCCCCTTGTAAGCCTGTAGATAACTTTTTTAAAGAGGCGACTTCTGATTCCTGTTAACATGTGGAGAGCTTACTCAATGGTTTTCCCTGGAACACGACCCGCCAATTGGTTAACATCCAGCTACTTTGTTATTGCTGGGTGAACAGGGGCAAACAAGATTACGTGATCAGTAAGTAGTCTGCACTGTCAAACTCTGGGTGCATTATGAGGATATCATCATGAACACGAGAGTGAAAAAAGTAATTGCAAAGCTCCAGGTACCTCATGCCAACGGGTCTGACTGGTGTGATGTGTGCGAGATCTCATAGGTCTAAAAATTGTACACCCCTTGAATTTCATACAAAGACAAATTATTATGAACTCGAGTGGAATTAATACGGCACACTGATAAGCCTAGTTAGAGTTAGTGCGTAAATTTAGATGCTGTCTTGCAATGTAGTGTAATATAATGAAAACCCTTTTCCAAATACATAGGTTACACCGGGTATGAAATACAATAGAATTTTACATGAATTCAACTTGAAGGCCACCATGTCTGTGGCTTCCACGAGGCGCCAGATTCACAAACAGTTACGCGAGCACTTACGAACCTGTACATCTTTTCTCAATCTTTGGCGGCTTTGTTTAAAATTATTAAACAGTTAATGAACTCCGAAGAACCAGGAGGCTGTTTATAACAATAACAACAGCTGATTGGGACGTTTTCATGCTTGTAAACTGTTTAATAAATGTAACCAAAGCCGTCAAAGATCGAGGAAAGATGTACACGTTCGTAAGTACTTGCGTAACTGCTTCGTGAATCTGGCAGGAATAATGTAATCCGGCGGTTTGTCAATTAGATCCCTCCAGCATTTTCCAGCTGTATTTAAATTTAATTAAGAACTTGAATGTAGACTAGGTTATGTATTGCGGCGGTTTTTTATTAAAATTAAAATTTTGTGCTTTTGAATTATAAGAATGATGTTTAAATACCTCATTATTGTTATAATTGCTATAATCGATATGAAAATATCTGAATTAAAGTCTATTATCCTATAAGCAGGCGCTATAATAGGCTTAATATTCACCACACAATTGGCTTAACTGAGGATAACTTCCCAGGCAGGACAAACACACAAGTGTTCTTTCACCTGATGCCTCTGCTCACCTAGACGTAGAAGTGTTATTCGGGAGTTAGGCAACTGTTATTGGTGGCTACTAATCCCGGCTACCTCTTCCCGCAGATAAATAGGATTCCATGGAGGGGGGGGGGTAGAAATAGCCTAAGCTACTCTATCCCTTTGAGATGTATTTCTTTCTTGTCTCAATAAACATACTTGAACTTGAAGGATATCATTTCACATGTTGCCTATATACAGAGTGTATAGACAACAGAATTCTTAAGAAGCCTATATACAGAGTGGAATCTGACAGCCTATCTTACTTGATCTACATGCCTTCCTTCTTGTTGGTTCAGGGAAGAGTTTCCACGGCCCGGTCTCTGACCAGGCCTCTTGGTTGGCGGTCTGTCAGCTGTTAGAGTCAGCCCGTCCTCATAAACAAGGCCAACGTCCATTCCATGCATCCGCCAAACCCCCCTGTTTAGGAATGCAAAACGGTTTACACACGCAACCCGTCCTCGACTTAAGTCCATTACATCCAGCGGTCGACCCCACAGACGCATTCATAAATTTTTACATGCTGTTCACTCAAAACAGGAATTTTCTCAAATATAACTTAATATTATGATATATTAGTATATTGTGCATATATAGGCATAGGTTAGGTTAACCAAACCACACTAGAAAGTGAAGAGACGACGACGTTTCGGTCCATCCTGGACCATTATCAAGTCGATTGTGATGAAAAGAAGATTGATTGATAAAGATTAGGCCACCCAAGAGGTGGTACGGGCATGAATAGCCCGGAAATGAGAGGAAGGATGCAAAAGCAACAAATAGGCAAGAGAGAGGCGAGAAGAAGGAACTCTTACAGGAAGAAAAATGCAAGGCAACAGGTACGGCAGGTAAGGTGTAATAAAGGGGATAGTAATAGAAATAAGAAAGGGATCGTAAGAGAAAACAAGGTAGAGAAAATGAAAGATAAACTTATGTTAGGTCACGTTTGTTAGAAAGTTTGGAACTTTTACGAATATACTGAGAAAGGGAAGAGTCACCAGCAACAAAGCCAGGACTCAGGTTCATGTTGGGTATGTTGTGTATCAGAGCCGATTCGACAAGACGGCGTCTGTGTAGAGTAGAATCAGGAAAGATTATTAAAGATGAAAGTTCCTTAAGTCTGTCATTAAGTGTACGGGCAGTTTCACCAAAGTATTGGAGAGGACAAGACGAACAAAGAGTAGACACCAGCAGCATTAGAAGCAGGAGGAGCAGTGTGAACCAGATTGCTACGAAGTGTGTTAAGTGGGTATATATATATATATATATATATATATATATATATATATATATGTCGTACCTAGTAGCCAGAACTCACTTCTCAGCCTACTATGCAAGGCCCGATTTGCCTAATAAGCCAAGTTTTCATGAATTAATATATTGTCTCTATTTTTTTTCTTATGATATGATAAAGCTACCCATTTCATTGTGTATGAAGTCAATTTTTTTTTATTGGAGTTAAAATTAACGTAGATATATGACCGAACCTAACCAACCCTACCTAACCTAACCTAACCTATCTTAATAGGTTAGGTTAGGTTAGGTGGCCAAAAAAGTTAGGTTAGGTTAGGTTAGGTAGGTTAGGTAGTCGAAAAACAATTAATTCATGAAAACTTGGCTTATTAGGCAAATCGGGCCTTGAATAGTAGGCAGAGAAGTGCGTTCTGGCTACTAGGTACGACATATATATATATATATATATATATATATATATATATATATATATATATATATATATATATGTCGTACCTAGTAGCCAGAACGCACTTTTCAGCGTACTATGCAAGGCCCGATTTGCCTAATAAGCCAAGTTTTTCTGAATTAATATATTTTCTCTATTTTTTTTCTTATGAAATGATAAAGCTACCCATTTCATAACGTATGAGGTCAATTTTTTTTATTGGAGTTAAAATTAACGTAGATATATGACCGAACCTAACCAACCCTACCTAACCTAACCTAACCTATCTTTATAGGTTAGGTTAGGTTAGGTAGCCGAAAAAGTTAGGTTAGGTTAGGTTAGGTTGGTTAGGTAGTCGAAAAACAATTAATTCATGAAAACTTGGCTTATTAGGCAAATTGGGCCCTGCATAGTAGGCTCAGAAGTGCATTCTGGCTACTAGGTACGACATATATATATATATATATATGTCGTACCTAATAGCCAGAACGCACTTTTCAGCCTACTATGCAAGGCCCGATTTGCCTAATAAGCCAAGTTTTCGTGAATTAATGATTTTTCGACCACCTAACCTACCTAACCTAACCTAACCTAACTTTTTCGGCTACCTAACCGAACCTAACCTATAAAGATAGGTTAGGTTAGGTTAGGTAGGGTTGGTTAGGTTCGGTCATATATCTACGTTAATTTTAACTCTAATAATTTTTTTTTTACCTCATACGTAATGAAATGGGTAGCTTTATCATTTCATAAGAAAAAAATTAGAGAAAATATATTAATTCAGGAAAACTTGGCTTATTAGGCAAATCGGGCCTTGCATAGTAGGCTGAGAAGTGCGTTCTGGCTATTAGGTACGACATATATATATATATATATATATATATATATATATATATATATATATATATATATATATATATATATATATATGTCGTACCTAGTAGCCAGAACGCACTTCTCAGCCTACTATGCAAGGCCCGATTTGCCTAATAAGCCAAGTTTTCATGAATTAATTGTTTTTCGACTACCTAACCTACCTAACCTAACCTAACCTAGCTTTTTCGGCTACCTAACCTAACCTAACCCATAAAGATAGGTTAGGTTAGGTTAGGTAGGGTTGGTTAGGTTTGGTCATATATCTACGTTAATTTTAACTCCAATAAAAAAAGTTGACCTCATACATTATGAAATGGGTAGCTTTATCATTTCATAAGAAAAAAATTAGAGAAAATATATTAATTCAGGAAAACTTGGCTTATTAGGCAAATCGGGCCTTGTATAGTAGGCTGAGAAGTGCGTTCTGGCTACTAGGTACGACATATATATATATATATATATATATATATATATATATATATATATATATATATATATATATATATATATATATATATATATATATATATATATATATATATATATATTTAAGAGAATGTTCGCTGATTCAGGGCATAAATACTTATCATAAATGGTATAAAACCTTATCATAAGAAATAAGCTAAGGGATTTGTAGATCAGTGTTTAAAGATAATTCGGAAGTAATAATAACACAGCTGATGCCATCTGTCGGCAGAAGAGAACACTATCAACTGGCTGGTCAACAGTGGCCATAAGGTACAGCTTACGCCATCTGTTGACATCAAATTACACTTATAACAAATTACCCTGCAAAATACAACTAGCGCCATCTCTTTTTTTTCCAACGCACTACAAATAGCCAAACAGCAACACATAAGGCGGGTTGTTGTGCTCGGGTAGGAGGTTCCAAGCTCCGCCCACAAGTGGTATGGGGTGCATAATATATTCTTTGTTGACATTCACACAACAGCCAATCACAGGAAGGGATCAGCTAAAGGCTCCATCCACTTAATAAATCATCTTTATTCAGCACACCATCCTTGCTTATGACATTCTGCTTCAACTTTAATCTAACTAAAAAGTGAAATATTAAGAATTTAAAAGTATTAATATAGTGATAATTAAATACTGCAGGATGTAACGGGTGTTACAGAAACATGGGCTGGCTACCTGACTTGTGACGTCATCAGTAGGAGTTGCCTCACACAAATAATATCGGCGATACAATGCCTCCGTCCTCTTATTGGTCTACATTATTCACTTAGATGGAAGTCTGTCTTGTATAAAACAGGAATTGTTGTTCATTTGTACAACAACAACAAGGTTATTAAGCAAAAGGACGTATTTCTTATTTTACATTTTATTCATATAAGCATTGGCATTCCCCGCAACAGCCAATCACAAGGAGGTATTTGTTGGAAACTCTGGCTTTATTTTATTTTATTTTATTTATATACAAGAAGGTACATTGGGTTTGTGAGAATACATAGCATAGTATTTACAATCTTCAACAAAGACGATTTCTAATGAACTCTAACAATAAATTCGTTTAATAAACGAGTATTTAGGGTCAAGCTACAGATGAACATTATAGGATAACGGTGTTTTAGCTTGCAGCTTCGCTAGACAGAATCCCTGGTCTTAATTTTAAAAATAAAGAACTAGAAAGCGTATTTTATTGCTAACTTTTCGAGAAATAAATCCCAGTCTCATATTTGCGAACATTTATGCATTGATTTTTTGGCTTAAGTTCTTATCATAATCCCTTTTGCAATCTCAACACCATCTGGCTCGTATCTTGTAACTATCTTCGTTACTTAGCCTCAAAACCTTACATTTATCTTACATATCCTCAACAGTAGATAAAAAAAGTAATTGCAGAATTCTAGTTACCTAATACCAGCATGGTATAAAACCTTATTATAAGCTACCAGACGTATAGATCAGTGTTTAAAGTAATAATAATACATTATTATTAATGTAATAATATTATTAAAATAATAATAACACAGCTGATGCCATCTGTCGGCAGAAGAGAACACTATCAACTTTTGTTTTTTTTTTGTTTTTTTCTTTTTAGCAGGGATAATCCTGCGCGGGCCCTAAGCCTCTGGCTGGCCCACTAAGTGATGCTCGTTTCTGGTTTACCTGGGCGGAGGATGAGTATGTATGACCCGTATGGTCGCTTCAGTAAGATTTTGCCATATGTGTTTAACAACTTCCTCTGCTCTGTCGAATCGAAGGTGAAATCTTAACGGG